CATTACGAATTTCCGAAATAACCAAGAAAAAATATCTCTTCTTCGTCACCGTTGAATATTGTTCTACGGCCAACGCTTAAAAATACGTATAACTTGACGAACAAGCAAGCAACATAGAGAATCTGTTACTACATAAACCCTTCAACCGAAGTTGAATCCACCATTAGTAGGAGCATTACCACTTTGGTTTCCAAATTGGAAACCTGAAGAAGACTCAATACTCTCACCACCGCCATTTTCTTCGTCGTCTTCTTCAGCCCAATACGCCTCGAGGATTTTCACTGCTTTCTCGTAAATCTCATGATTGTCGTGACTCTGAAGATTCTCCAGCTTCTCCAAACCTTCTGCGTCGTCAATCATCTGTGCGTAGTGATTATAGTCTCCTGTGTTGCCTAGATTCTTCTCGGCTTCACCTACTTTCAGAATGTTCTCTACACCTTCCAAGGTCACTGTCACGACCCTTGGATCCGGGCACGTGAGGAGATCGCACAGCGGTTTAATGCAGCCTACACTCACAAGAAACCTGCAAGAAAATTACTAGAGTTTCAACTTCAAGAATTAAGGACACTGTTATAAAAAGAAACAGAGAAAAATGAGCTTTTTTTTTTACTTGATTTGGTCATGGTTGCCACCAGAAGTTGCATTAGAAACTGCCCAAACTGCTTCTTTCTTAATATCGAATTCACCGTTTTGAAGCAAGTTAATGAGTGGCTGAAAAATGCCTGCTTGGATCACTTCCTGTACAACAAAAATTCTCAAATGTTTATGCAAATGAAAAGTTATAAAAAAAAAAAAAAGTCGAAAAGAAACTTCTTGGAGTCAATAAGAAACTCACTTGTATCTGATTTGGGTTTCCAGCAGTTATGTTTGAGATAGTCCAGCAAGTTTCCTTCTTGATACTCTTCTTGTATGTGTTTGTCAAAAGCATCAAGAGACCAGGAAGCGCTTGCTGATTTATAACCTCCTGTTATATAGATGAAACAAAGATGATTTCAAACTCAAACAAGACATTATAAAAGGTTACAATGTTAGATTGAAAATATTGGCGGCACCTGAGTTTGAATATCATCTCCAGTTACAATATTCCCAATGGTACGGAGAGCTGGAATCAAAACTGTTGGCGATGGATGACTATAATAAACACATAAGAGGACACACAAATCAGATTAAGAAATGCGAATGGAGAGAATATGCAATCTGCTGGTATATAGAAAGATACTTACGCTAAGAGTTTAACGAGGTGAGGGATAACACCTGCGTCGACAACAGTTTGTATTTTATCGTTGTTACCATCAGAGAGATATGAGAGAGCCCAGGCTGCATCTGTGAGAACTTCTTCATCGGTTGAATGCAAAAGGAACTCAAGAATTGGTAAAGCTGGTTTTGTCTGCTCAACAAATACAATGGAAACAGTCAGTTATGAACAGGCTTATGACATTTTGAATCAGTGTGTATAGCTTAAAATGATATGAAAGGATACCTGCTCAATTGCAGGCTGCGGCTTCCCTCTGCAGAAGTTTGACAAAGTCCATGTAGCATTTCTCAGCATGGAGAGCTTCGACTGCTCGTTGAACTGAGCCAGAAGAGGCATCAAGGCCCCGCAACTTAGGACATAATCACGACATTTTGGTGAGTCACCGGCGACGTTTCCCAGTGCCCATACAGCCTGTAATCATGAGGAAACAGGATGGTAAAACAACACAAATAAATCATCTAATTGACGCATTGATAAAACAGTTTCTTTGACGACACAATAAACAAAACCGATTGATACCTGTTCTCGGATTTCCTCGCTGGGAGAATTCAGAAGATTGATAAATAGCTGAACAGCCCCACTTTCAACAATGACCCTAGTGTTCTCAGATGTCCCTGAAGCGATGTTTGTGAGCGCCCAAGCAGCCTCAAACTATGGTAGTAC